GAAAAGACATAGTATAGGTTAGAACAGAAATAAATAACATAGAAACTAAAAAAAAAAAAATTCAAAAGATCAATCAAACAAAGAGCTGGTTCTTTGAAAAGATAAACAAGATTGATGGATCCAGACTCACCAACAAACAAAGAGAGAGACCCCAAATACACAAAATCAGAAATGAAAGAGGAGAAGTAACAACTGACACCACAGAAATGCAAAGGATAGTTGAAAAATACTATAAACAATTATACGCCAACAAATTGGACAATCTGGGCAAACTGTATTGATTTTGAGAAACAGAAAGTCTCCCAAAACTGAACTGAGAAGAGATAGAAAACTTGAACAGACCAATAACTACTAAGGAAATTGCAGATGTAATCAAGACTCTCCCAGCACACAAAAGCCCAGGCCCTGATGGCTTTACAGGAGAGTTTTACCAAACATTCAAAGAACTAACACCCATTCTCCTCAAACTATTCCAAAAAAATCCAAGAAGAAGGAAGACTTCCAAACTTATTTAATAAGGCCAGCATAATTCCACAGTAATTCTAAAACCAGATAAAGACACTACAAAGAAGGAAAACTACAGGCCAATATCCCTGATGAACATAGATGCCAAAATCCTTAACAAAATATTAGTAAACTAGATACAGCAATACACTAAATAAATTATTCACCATGACCAAGTGGGATTCATCCCAGGAATGCAAGGCTAGTGTAATATTCGCAAATCAATAAATGTGATACACCACATAAACAAAATGAAAGATAAAAACCATATGATCATATCAATAGATGCTGAAAAAGCATTCAGCAAAATCCAGCACCCATTTCTGATAAAAATGCTCAGCAATGTGGAAATAAAGGGATCATATCTCGACATAATAAAGGCCATATATAAAAAACCTACAGCCAACATCATACTCAATGGACAAAAACTAAAAGCATTTCCCCTAAAAACATGAACAAGACAGGGATACCCACTTTCACCACTCTTATTTAACATAGTACTGGAAGTCTTATCCACAGCAATCAGTAAGGAAAAATAAAAGGGATTCATATTGCAAAGGAAGAGGTTAAACTGTCATATTTTGCAGATGACATGATATTGTACATAGAAAACTATAAAAACTCCATCAAAAATCTACTAGACTTAATAAATGAATTTGGCAAAGTAGCAGAATACAAGATTAATGTCAAGAAATAGACGGCATTCTTATATACCAACAATGAACACACAGAAAGAAACTAAAGAAACAATCCCATTTACCATTGCAACAAAAAAATTAAGATACTGAGGAATAAACTTAACCAAAGAAGTAAAAGATCTCTTCACAGAAAACTACAGGTAATTGAAAAAAGAAATAGAGGAAGATATAAAAAAAAGTGGAAGCATATACCTTGTTCATGATTGGAAGAATTAACATTAAAATGTCCATACTACCCAAAGCAATCTATAGATTCAAAGCAATCCCCATCAAAATACCAACAATATACTTCACAGAACTAAAACAAATACTCCAAAGGTTTATATGGAACCACAAAAGACCCCAAATAGCCACAGAAATCTTGAAAAGGAAGAACAAAGTAGGAGGGATCACATTACCAGACATCAGGTTATATTACAAAGCCACTGTAATCAAAACAGCCTGGTACTGGCACAGGAACAGGCAGATAGATCAATGGAACAGAACAGAGAACCTAGAAATTGACCCGAGACAATATGTTCAATTAATATTTGAAAAAAGTGGCAAGAGCATACAATGGAGTCAAGGCAGCTTCTTTAATAAATGGTGTTGGGAAAATTGGACAGCTACATGCAAAAAAAGTGAAGCTAGACCACCAAATTACACCATACACAAGAATAAAATCAAAATGAATAAAAGACTTAAATGTGACTCATGATTCCATAAAAGTCCTAGAAGAAAATGCAGGCAACAAAATTTCAGACATCATATGCTGCAGAATTTTCACTGATACATCACTTTAGGCAACAGAAACAAAGGAAAAAATGAACACATGGTACTACATCAAAATAAAAAGCTTCTGCACAGCAAAAGAAACAAGCCTCAAAGTAGAAAGGGAACCCACTATATGGGAGAGCATAATTGCCAATGATACATCAGATAAGGGGTTAATTTCCAAAACATATAGAATATTCACAAAACTCAACCAAAGGAAGACAAAGAACCCAATTTAAAAATGGGCAGAAGACCTAAATAGACACCTCTCCAAACAGGACCTACAAATGGCCAAGAGACATATGAAGAAATGCTCAATGTCGCTAATCATCAGAGAGATGCAAATTAAAACAACAATGAGGTATCACCTCACACCTGTCAGAATGGCCACCATCAACAAATTATCAAACGAGTGTTGGTGAAGGTGTGGAGAAAAGGAGACCCTGGTACACTGCTGGTGGGAATGCAGTGTGCCACTATGGAAAACAATATGGTGTTACCTCAAAAAATTAAAAATTAAAAATTGAATTGCCATTTGATCCAGTGATCCTACTTCTAGGAATATAACCTAAGAAGCCTGAAACACCAACCAGAAAGAATATAAGTACCCCCATTTTTATAGAAGCACTATTTACAATAGCTAAGATCTGGAAACAGCCCAAGTGTCCATCAGTAGATGAATGGATAAAAAAGCAGTGGTACATATACACAATGGAGTACTATGCTGCTGTAAGAAAGAAAGATCTGTTGTTATCCTTTGAGACAACATGGAGTGATCTGGAAAGTATTATCCTAAGTGAAACAAGTCAAGCAGAGAAAGACAAATATCACAGATGTCACTTATTTCTGAAATATAATGAACTAAACAAACTGGTAAACAAAATAGGCCCAGAGACATAGAAAGGAATATGATTCAGACTGACAAACCTCAGAGGTGTGGGATGGGGGGAAAGGAATAGATGAACCACAGAACTTATATGCATGTAGGCATAACCAATGGACATAGACAACAATGCTTGAGAGAGGGGAGATTGGGAGGAGGATATCAATGGGAAAAAAGGAGAAACATCTGTAACAAAAATAAATAAATAAAAATTGCAAAGAAAAAGTTTGAGTTTAAACAAAGGTGCTCCCAACAGTTCCAAAATGTGTGCCAATTATTCGCAATCTTCGTTGCACATTAAAATCACAGGGGCTGGGAGAGGAAGGGTATGGATACCTGGGCCTCGCCTTCAGAGATGCTGATTTAAATGTTCTAGGGTACAGCTCAGGCATCTGTACTTTTAAGGACTCCCTAGCTGATTATAAAGTACAATAAAGTAAGAATCTCAGACCTATGTAGAGCTTAGTTTTTTGTTTGTTTATTCAATTCTTCCTGATTTCACCTTCTTAAAAGCAGAGTCTGCTTCAGTGATTTAAGAAATATTTAATGCAGACATAAATAAAAGAATACTATTTTACAAATGTGGAATGTATTTATTCTATTCAATACGGTTTCCATAGAGGGAGCTGACCCTAGGTAGAATGATAAAGATTTCCATCTTGTTCATACGCTTTCCATTCTGTAATTCTTCCTCCTGAGCTGAACCTCTTTAGAAACAGTCCATTCTCCAAATTTACCTGCTCAAATCTTCCCTGTGTTCTTTTGAAGTTGGCTACCTGTTAAGTGGGAAGCCATTGAGTTCAAAGGAATTTTAACTCTGGTTTTTCTAATACAATTGCTTATTCCTGAAGCAGTTCCAACAATTATTAATAATTTAACTAAAGGAACTAGTTTGATAATAGAAAAGTCAGATCCTGTGACAAGGCAAAAGAATATAATTTGGGGATGTAAACCTTCAATCTTTATTAGAAAGCCAATAATGTATTCTGCTTAAGAATAGGGTAATTTAGCCCTAGCCAGTTTGGTTCAGCAGTTGAAGCATTAGTCCGTGGACCAGAGAGTACCAGGTTCGGTTCCCGCTAAGGGCACATACCTCAGTTGTTTGTCCCTGGCCCCGGTTGGGGTCATGTGGGTGGCAACCAGTCGATGTGTCTCTCTTGCATTGATGCTTCTCTGTCTCTCTTTCCCCCTCTCTCCTTTCCTTCTATCTGATGGTAAATGCAAAAGTGTCCTCGAGTGAGGATTTAAAAAGAGAATAGGGTAATTTGCCTGGCCAGTGTGGCTCAGTGGATTAAGCGTTGTCCTATAGACTGAGAGGTCCCAGTTCGATTCCTGGTCAGGGCACATGCCTGGGTAGTGGGCACATGCCACTGGGGTGGGAGGCATGCAGGGGGTGGCCGATCCATGTTTCTACCTCTCCCTTACTCTCTAAAAAGTCAATGAAAACATTTAAAAGTCCTGGCCTATTTGGCTCAGTGGTTAGAATGTCGGCCTGCAGACCAAAGAGACCCATGTTCATTTCCAGCCAAGGGCACATACTTCAGTTGCAGTTGGTCCCCAGCCCCCGTTGGGGTTGTGCGGATGGCAACTAGTCAACGTGTCTCTTTCACATAGATGTTTCTCGCTCTCTCCCCCTCCCACTCTGTCTCAAGATAAATGTAAAAATATCCTTGGGTAAGGATTAAAAAAAAATTTTTTTAAAAAGAGGATAATTTAACTGAATCTTCGATCATGATCCACATTGTCATATTCTAATACTACAGACAATAATATTTTTACAACCCCTTTCAAAGGCACAAATTATAGTGTATATTTCACACACGCTCTTTGATGAGTGACTTAGTAAATAAAAAGCAAAATATATATCTGAAAAAATATGCATTTTTGGAAACATACTTTGATTTGGTGACTGATACAGAAAAACTGACACAGTCTTTTTAATTTAGGGACTCCTATTCCTTTAGTAATAAGAGAAATTCAACATTTTTAACCTTTGAAAAAGAGGCACCAGAAAGTCAAGATTATAATACTAATAGAAAGATTAGTCTATAAGGTAAATGTATCTAAGTAGTTTTCAATTTTTAAAGAATATGAACAATTTTAGCATCACTATTTTAAAATAAAGGTTTTTTTGTTGTTATTGTTATTAGTTAGTTTCATACCCTGGGAGATGGCACTTTGGCTCTGAAGGTTTTCCTTAACTCAAATATAGAAAAAATGCTGAAAACAAAGATATTACTATCTGCTCCAGTAGTCACCAAAAAGCGGTCATCAAAGCTAGTAGAAATGCTATTAACACATCCATAATTGTTGTCATGTACATTAAAGTGCCAGTAATTTTCCAGAGTTTTCAATGAAGAGTCATTTGGACTTAGGATATAGATTCGAATTGCTCCATCTTGCAATCCACAAAACATCATATCGTGGTTAAGACTATGAAACAAAAGAAAGCAAATTGTTCTTCATATTAATCTGGAATGTTTAATTTTAAATTAATTGACAAATGACTAAATTTTTAGTAACAAAGTGTTATGGATTAAATTATGTTACCCTCAAAACTCACATGTTGAAGCTCTAACAAACTATAAAAGCCCAAGAAAACTAATACAAAAAGGTAGAGGTGGGAAAAAGCCAGTTTAAAAGTTGGAGCTATTACATTTTCTCTCCAAAAGGATGACTGGCATGTATGCTTAATTCACAATCATTAAAGGAGTAATAATTCAATTTGCTATTTCTCTAGAATCATAACCTGAACATACATTATCTGATCGTGAAGTAGCATTCTCCTAAATAACAGAGAGTAAATCCATACAACTGTGTACTAAACAAACAGAATTTTTGACAGAGGAACTTGAAATACCATTTTAAAATTAGCTTTGATTCTATTGGTTCCTTTGATTTCACATTGTTTTGAGTATCTCTCTATTTGGACAGATCTTTAAAAACTGACAATGTTTATAATAGACAAAAATACAGACACCAATGGGTGTTTGTAAAAAACTTTTTTAGTTTTTTAAAAGCTTTCTAAAATTCTGTTCACCTGAAAGTGATGGTATGGATGGGATTATCTTCTGTATCCTCAAGAAAACGGAAATCCAAAGGTTCATCTTTCTTCTCTGTAATATCACTGCTTTTGTCACATGGGGGGAACTCACAATGATATAGAAAACCAGAATCATAGCCACCCTGGAAAGGGGAAGTAACACAGAAGACGGTACTTGAATATAAGACACATATGACCCCATAAGAAGTTTTGGATTATTTTAAATTTTAAAGCATAAAATAGATGTCTTTAAAAATCTACTTTATATAATTATAGAAATCATATATAGGGGCTTTTTTAATCCTCACCCAAGGATATTTTTCCATTTATCATCAGATAGAGTGGAAGGAAGGGAGAGGGAGAGAGAGAAACATCGATGTGAGAGAGACACATCGACTGGTTACCTTCCACGCAACCTGACCAGGGTCGGGGACGAACTACAACCAAGGTATGTGCCCTTGACCGGATTTGAACCCATGCCTCAGGTCGACACTCTAACCACTGAGCAAAATCATCCAGGGCAATAATTATATATAGATTTTATAAAGCAACTCCATTGTCCATTTATATGCAACTATACAATTATAATAATAAAACACTTTACAATGATTTGTTTCCACTTAAAAGTCAATAGAAGAACATTTACACAGTGGAATACTATGCAGCTGTAAGAAAGAAAGATCTCTTACCCTTTGAGATGACATGGAGGGACCTGAAGAGTATTATGCTGAGAGAAATAAGCCAAGCAGAGAAAGACAAGAACCATATGATCTCACTTATTTATGGAATATCACGAACAAAATAAATAAGCTGTTGATCAGAGACATGGAAGTAGGGAACAAACTGACAAATCTCCGAGCGAAGGTGGTTGGGGGATATGGGAAAAGATAAATCAAAGAACTTATATGCATATATGCATAACCAATGAACACAGACAATAGTTTGGAAAATGGGGGGCATCAGTAGGGGATAAAAGTGGGGACATCTGTAATACTTTCAACAATAGAGATTTTTTAAAAAACATATACTGTGCTTTATTTCAATTATATTTCAATAAAACTGGGGGGGGGGATTTTAAATAGAGGATTCCCAGTTAAATTTGAATTTCAGATAAGTAACAAATACATTTTTAGTGTAAGTATGTCCCATGTAATATTTATCTGGCATTTAAATGTTTATTAAATTATAATTTTTATATATATTTTTCAAGGACACTAAACTCTATTACATTATATCACAGCTATTTCTATGCCTCTCTCCCTCATGATTATGAGGAAACTTCTTGAGGGCAGAAACCATGTCCTATTTATTCCTTTACCCCTTGAATTCCTCACACAAGTAGCCACCAATAATTGTTTCAGAGGAGACAGACAAAGGGTAAAGTCACTAATAAATGAAGTTCTAAGGCGCCTCCATCACTACTTTCTATTGTTCTTGCCACTTGCTCCCTTAGAAGCTGATATCCAAAATACATTTCTAAGAAATGTTGAAGAGGGGAGAGGTTAAGTGTTATCACTCCTTATAGCAACAGTCCTTATTTACCAGAGAGCTGGGCCACTTATGATTTAGTGAAAATCCTTTACATATACTTTTATGTCAATTATTACTTTTTTGATGAAAAGAATTAAAATTTGTGACAAATTTATAATGAAGAAAATCTTGCTTTGCAATGAATCAATGAAATATTTTATAAAAATAGAATATATAAGAGGACATAATTGTCACATCATTGTGACGGTCCCTGGTACTTATCTCCCCAATATCCATTTTTCTATTCTTTATTAGCCAAGTTCCAATTTTGTTCAGGGTGGCAATGTGCCCATACAAAAACAGTCATCTTCCCAGACTTCTATATGTTTGCACAGCATAGTTGTAGATAACAAAATGTAAGCAAAAGTCTGCCCTGGCCTGTTTGCTCAGTGGTTAGAGCATCGGCCCATGAACTGAAGAGTCACAGATTCAATTCCTGCCCCAGTCAGGGTCATTCAGAAAGCAATCAATCTATGTGTCTTTCTCACATTGATGTTTCTCTCCTTCTCCCCCCCACCCCAACTCTATCTTAAAAAAAAAAACAATGGAAAAATATCCTGGGGTGAGGATTAGGAAAAAAAAAAAAAAACAAAGTAAGCAAAAGTCTATTGACTAGCACTGCCACTGTTTCCAAAATACTAATTATTTTCAAAATTTATAAGCAACAGCCCAGCCGGTGTGGCTCACTGGCTGAGCATCAACCCATGCACCAAAAGGTTGCCTGTTCGATTCCCAGTCAGGGCACATGCCCAGGTTGTGGGCCAAATACCCAGTGAAGGGAATGCAGGAGGCAGCCAATCGATATTCTCTCTCATCTATATTTCCCTCTCTCTCTCCCCTTCTTTCTTCCTCTCTCTCTAAAATCAATAAAATATATATACTTTTTTAAAAAAAAATTTATAAACAGACTCAGCTGGAAAACCCCTTAGCCCTTTGCCCTTCTACCTTCCATTCTTCTCCGTTTTGACCTCCTGGAACATGAATGATTGTCATAGATGATAACAGATATAACAAGTATAAGAGATATATTATATATAAGAGATATATTAAATGGTCACAAAAACAACTGTAACTCACATTCGTTCTTCAAAATCCACATTTTTAATAATAATAAGTAAAATCTTACCATAGAGAAAGTAAAAATATACTGGAAAATAATGATTACCAAATACATGGGTTTAGGAATGACCTAAAAATTATTTATTACATTACTACTCACCAAAGAAACCCAGAACTTCCCTGGCTCAGAGTAAAATCCACAGAGGATGTGACAGGGGGTTAGTGGAATAAAGATTTCAGGTAATGGCTCCTCTTCCTCCTCCTCCTCCTCTTCCTCCTCCTCCTGGAATTCCGTTTCTTCATCTTCTCCCCTTTCTGCTGCTAGCTGCTTCCTTCTTTCTTCCTTTTCCTTCTCCTTCAAATCCTTCCGTTTCTTTCTCTTTTCAATTTCTATTAGTTGCTTTTGCAAGAGGCATTAAGGAGATATGAAAACAATTATAATTCATTCATATTTACACTATTGGAGATGACAAGGAAAGTAGAAGGAAGATAGGGTCGTATAAAAACTCAATATATATCCATTTAGGAATATATTTTTATCATTAAAATTTTCAAATCTTTGGAATAACTTTATTTCTGTATTATCCCAATTGATCCTCGTTTTAAAAAATTATTTTGTCTTTTTTTTTCCCATTAATAAAGAAGCTTCTCTCAGAATCTATTCCTGTCAGACCATAAATTAGGCAGACTATAGGCAGGATGTATAGTAAGAAGGAAAATTCATTGGCAAATGAAATAGGGAACCTGAGGCAGATAGTTAGCAGTTTGCAGCCATCTAGTAAATCCTATCATCCCTAAACCAAGGATGCTTAAGAGTAGATGGTTTGCACTTCTCCCCAACCAAACATAAATTACCCTCCTCCGAGATGAAGTTAAAGGAATAATCTCATTTTTACATATCAGCATAAAATTAATGAATATTCTGTTGAGATCCTCCCCTAAATACCCATACCTTTCCCCTCCTCCTCCCCACTTCTTCCCCCACAGGCAGGCATCTCCTAAGCTCTATGGGACCACCGGGGCAGCAACGGGCAGTGGCAGTTCTTCCTGGGAAAACTCCAATACCTGTCCCCAAGGCCCCCCTTTTTTCTGACTTCTTAGTGAGCCAAAGCAGACCAGCCTAGGCTCATTTCCCTAGCCCTTTCTTGCTTCATTGTCCCCAACTTTAATAAACATCCTCTGAAATTCACCTGGACCCACGTTGTTAAATTTTTCCTATACGGAGTCAAGGAACCACACACCACTGGCTGGCTACAGGCAGGTCAGCAAAGGGCCAGGTCCCCTTTCCGGGAGCAGAATGAAAAAGGGTATGAGGGAGGTGTTTCTATTGTTAGTAAAACTGATTTCGACCCTCAGCATCTATCAACTGACAACTGCAAAAGGCCACAAACACTGGCATCCCTTCCTCTCATCTTTTACCTCTTTATTCTCAGAATTATCTTCCTAATTTACATGATCTCATTGCATCATTCTCCTCAAAAACTTACAATGGATTCCAATGGTCTAAGAGATACATGAAAACATCTTAGCTTGTATTTAAGGAGTCCCATGTGTTGGTCACAGACTTGCCACATCCCACCACAAATTGCACCTGTTTCACCAGTCCATTCTTCATTTCCCCCGAACACCAAAACCAAGTCTGCATTCCCTCGGGATGTTCTCCGGCTTTTACTGCCTTCCTTCTCGTTTTCGACCTTTCAAAATTCTCATTCTTTAAGTACTGGATGTCATCTCCATATAGTCTTCCTTTACCTCCTTTCATCCTTCCACCAGGGTCATATATTCCTTTTTCTGCATGCACCTAAAATTATTTTCTTCACACAGCAATTTTAATATCTAGTCACTACTGCCTTCAAATACAGGGCCTATGTCTTATTCTTCTTTGCATTTTCCCAGCACTTAACACGGGATATTTTATATTCTACAAAGAAAAAAGTGTTAGAAGATAATGCTTCAAGGATATGTCATACCAGAATCTTAGATTTGACACTTGAGAAATGGAAACATTTTATGCACATGTCTTTGATTTCATAGGAAACTAAATCGTGATCCTCCACTTCCTCCTTTATGGTTGGAAATGGAGCTTCAAGGACATAGCCGTTCTCACAGATAATCAGTAAAGTACTTTCTGGCTAAAAAAAGAAGGAGTAAACATATCATTTACATTTAGGCAAATTTTTAGAAGCACAGTTCAAAAAGATTACAAACCAGGGAATATATAATTGCTGTGAATACTGACTGTTTTGGATGGATACTTAATTCCTCATTGTAGTTATTATTCATAATAAGTCAATCTTATTACTCACTATACATAATTATTAATACTAATTATTATAATTAATAAGCTAAGTGTTAAAGTTAGATTTAGATTTGTTTCCCTTATAGGTGCCATACATATTTTCTGAGCCAAAAATGTGGTTGTGAAACATGTTAGCCTATAGAGCAAAATGTGAAAATTAGGAATGCCAAGGGAAAATTTGCAGTGAACGGTATATACACTCTCAGTTTCCTTTGATGGATCATTCTCTTTCAGCCTGAGTTTGCAAAACATAAATGTTCTCAAGGTTTCTGTCCTCTTTCCTCTTCTCTTCTCTCTTCATAAATGTTCCCTGGGAAAATCTTATAGACAACTTAAGGCTTCTTTACCATTGACATGCAATTAAATTCCAAATTATTCTCTGTATCCCTGACCTCTCTCTTGGGCTCCAAAATCATGTATTTAACCACATATGGCAAATCCCCATCTTGATGTTCCATAGACACTTTATTCAAAATGTTTGTTCCTTTATTTTATTCGACAGTTATTTATTATATATCTACCATGTACTCAGCATTTTGTCAAGTGCTAGGGGTAAAATTATAATAAAAAAACAAAAAGGTATAGTCTCTGCCATTATAGCATTTACTTCCAATGGGAGAGCCCAACATTTGACAAATTATATAAATAAGTATAAATTATAATGGCAACAAGTGTGGCAGGGGTGCCAGGGGAGCAAGAAGGTTGTGCAAAGCTTTCTGGGAAGGTGGTACCTATGCTTCAGGTGAAAGATTAGTAGAAAATAATTAAACAGTGAGTTAGGGGAGCATCTGAGGGAATATGCTACGTAAAGGAAATACCATGTGCAAATATCCTGAAGCACAATGGTCTTATAAGGAAGTTGTGGGCTTGGATGGCATCACTTAGGCCAAGAGAATAGAGTGAGAGGAGAGACTGGGACTGAGCCTTAAGGAAACAGCACTCAATGGCTGGGTGACAGAGACTGAGAAGAAATACTTATTACAAGATGCAGGAGAGAAACCATGAGAGCAAAATGTCACAAAAGTCAAAGGCAGATGGTATTTGAAAGAGGAAATGAGGGTTAACAGGATCAAATTAAGCTAAGAGATCAAGAAAGAGAAGAAATAAAACTGTTAAGTAGGTATCACTGGTGTCTTTAGAAGAGCTGATTTGGTGCAATGAGACTAGTAAGAGAGTGTAAAGGAGACAGTAGGATGTAAGAAAATAAAATTTGTGAGAATAATCAATCCTCTTGTGAAAACCAGAAGAAGAAAGATTGAGCAGTAGTTGGAGGAGAATATGATGTCAGGAAATTTATATTTTTTTTGTAAATGGGAAAGACTTTATAACATATTTAAATACTAATGGGAAGGAACCAGTAAATAGGTGAGGTTAAATTTATATGACAGAAAAAGAGAAAATGCTGTGAAATCTTGAAAAAAAGTAGGCGAGAGTAAAATCCAAAGGTCAAGAGGCAGAAGTGTGGGAAGGAAGACAATTTTGTTTATGGTAAAACAGAGAAGAGCAGCAGGTGGAAGCAGAGATAACAGGATTTTATGTTTGGTAGTAGGAAGGAGGAGTTCCTATCTGAGAGCTCCTAGTTTTTCTCTGAAATAAGAGATGCTGAGAAAGAGTGAGTGATAGTGGGAGGCTTGAAGTTTTGGGGAGAGGAGAAGTTTTAAAATGGTCACTGTGGGTGAGAGATGAAGTTGGTAAGAGAAATGCTACAGGATTTCTGAACCCTCCATGGACTGTTTTAAGGCCATTTGATCACTAACTTCTCAAGGACCTGATCTCTGATGCATGAATATCTCCAGATGTCTTTGATCACTACAGGCAAAGATAAATCAGTTGGGGGCATTCATGGATACATTTTTGCCATATAGGGATGAAGAAAAGACAGAGGGACAGGAAGATCAAAGCTTTGGAAGAGTGTTATTTATCCTTATTGAAATGAATACTCATGAAATTTGAGTTGGACATGGAAGGAAGTTAAGACAATAATGAACTAATGAGTTAGAGAAAGCAAATTGTGAATGAACAAGAGGTCCCTGTGACACCAGAGAACAAATAGAACAGGAGTAGCCAACTGAACATACTGAAGGGAGAGGGGTTGAGGTCAGAATGTGAGATATTGAAATATTTGACATTTAAGGTTGAGGTCTTACAAGTTGTTGGGTTGTTCTGAACTGCATCACTCTACAAAATTTATATATAGAAGTTCTAACCTCTAGCTCTCAGAATATGACTGTATTTGGAGATAAAGCCTTAAAGCAAATAATGTTAAAATGGGGTCATTAGGGCAGGCTCTAATCCAATATGACTGATGTCCTTATGGAAAGAGGCCATCAGGACAGAAAGGAATGACCATGTGAGGAAGACGCAGTGAGAAAGTGGTCATCTACAAGACAAGGAGAGAGGCCTCAGAAGAAAGTAAACCTGTCAGCCCTTGATATTGCCTAAAGAACTATGAGAAAATAAATTTCTGTAGCTTGAGCCACCCTGAGTGGTCTTTTGTTATGGAAGCTCTAGAAGACTAATAAACTCATAGTGACAGTGCCCAGTGGGTGGCTGTGAATGTGTGTGGATGAGCTGTGAAGATCATGGAAAATGAAATCAAGAAGCTCAGAGGCAGAGGCTGTTCAATCAGTTATGCACGTGGTATTAATATCATTCAGAATAATTGCTTGGACTTTGAAGAGAAAGTGAACCATATTCTCAAAATTTTAATTAAAGGGCAAGATTGACCAGGTGATCAGAAGATGACAGTACTATAAAGAGAAGGTGATATAGCTGAATAAGATCAAATGAGCAGTGTTTTTATCTTAATTTTATGAGTTTCAAATAATAAAAAACTATATAAACGTTGCCACAAATGAAATCATTTTATAGGATGATGTCAGTAGAATGGCACCGTGAGAGGACCTCCAGGTCTCTCCCCTTGAAGTTACAAGTTGGACAGCTATAATTCAACAAAGGATTCCCTGCTCAATACACAAATATGTCTGAGAGATCTGTGCATCATGACATCTAAATGTGAGTATGGAGCCAACAAGGAAGATGGGGTAGAGGGTGAAGGACAGGAATGGGATCTGCAGATGCAACTTGGCACCAGTTTGCATGAGAGGACCCTGTATAGAAATAGCTGCTAAGCTCTGTGTTGTTGTTGTTGTTGTTGTTGTTGTTGTTGTTGTTTTAAATTTGAGCCCAGTTAGCCACCGGGAGCCCTGCTTAGTAGGTACCTTCTTTCCCAAGGTTCACAACTTGGATGTAAAAATCCTTAATAAAATATTAGCAAAGTGTGTGTGTGTGTGTGTGTGTGTGTGTGTGTGTGTGTTAAAATACAGGGAATTGCCCTGGCCAGTGTGGCTCAGTTGATTGGAGTGTTGTCCCATACACCAAAGGGTGGTAGGCTTGATTCCTGGTCAGGGCACATTCTCAGGTTGTAGGTTTGATCCCCAGTCGAGGTGCATATAAGAGGCAGTCAATCAATGTTTCTCTCTCACATCAATGTTTCTTTCGCTCTTTCTCTTCTCCTTTCCTCTCTCTCTCAAATCAATAAAAACATATCCTCGGATGAGAATTTAAAAAATAGTCATGACTGTCAGCTGATTTCTCAACACAAATTTTACAGGCCAGAAGGAATTAGCATGAAAATATGCACAATGAAAAGCAAGAACCTACAACCAAGGTTACTTTACCTGGCAAAGCTATCATTTAGAATCAAAGAACAGAGAAAGAGCTTCCCAAGGCAAATACATATCTATCAATAATTAGTTTGAAGGCAAACGGATTAAATGCTCCAATCAAAAGACATAAGGTGGCTGAATGGAAAATAAAACAAGAACCTTACATATGCTGTTCACAAGAGACTCAATTCAGATTGAAAGACACACACACTGAAAGTAATGGGATGGAAAAAGAAAATGGAAACAGAATAAAAAGTTAGAGTAACAATACTTATACCAGACAAAATAGACTTTAAAACAAAGACTATAAGACTTCCGGTCAAGATGGAGACGTAGGTAAATGCAGTATCGCGTCCTCCCACAACCACATCAAAGTGCCAACTTCGAGCATGCCAACATTCGCATCTTGGGGGTGCCAGAAGGAGAAGAGAGAGAACAAGAAATTGAAAACCTGTTTGAAACAATAATGGCAGAAAACTTTCCTAACTTGGTGAAGGAAACAGACATACAAGTCCAGGAAGCACAGAGAGTCCCAAACAAGATGAACCCCAGGAGGCCCACAACTAAACTACAGAACAACCATCATTCAAAACTGCCTGAAATCAAGCTGAATGGAAGTCCTACAAACTACAAAATTAAAGCAGCAGCCACATCCAGACTGGTAGGAGGGGCGGAGGCGCGAGGAGCTGGTCCCACACCCACGTGTGGCGGATAAAAATCAGGAGGATACCTTGGCTGGGAAGGTCCTTCCTGAGGACTGAGGGGTCCCATCCCACACCAGACGGCCTGCTCAGGGTTCCAGTGCTAGGAAGAGAAGTCCTTATAATTTCTGGCTGGAAAAACCAGCAGGAACTGAGGCTCAGGGAGGTTGAGATGGCTTAAGCCCCACGCAGCTCCTTACCCGTGCTCAGACTTATCGGACTCACTCCCTCTAAGCTTGGAGGGGGGCAGCTCGAGGGGCACCAGAGACATACAGGGAAGAACTGAGCTGTTTGGCACTGGAGCAAGGCTGGAGAGGGGTCTTTCTCCGGGACAAACATGCTGTCAGAGGCCTTTGTTCCTTTGGTGAGCCCTTCCTTGGGGCAGCAGACAGTCGCCATATCTGGGACTCCAGCAACCTGGCTCAAACTGGTAGCCCCGCCCTGGTGATTCCCTGAGGCCCCGCCCCACCCAACTTTCAGGCCCACCCAAGCTGTTGCCAGTTGTTTAACCATAGGATTGGATTGTCTTGGATCCTGCTCCAGGTTTTTCCTAAATTTTTTCAAACAAGCAGCTTCTGGTCTTAGATGGCCCCATACCTCTCATTACATAACACACAGAAACAAACACAGGGAGGCAGCCAAAATGAGGAGACAAAGAAACAGGTCCCAAATGAAAGAACAGAACAAAACCCCAAGAACAGAACTAAGCGAGATGAACATAAGCAACCTAACATATGCTGAGTTCAAAATACTGCTTAGAATGATGCTCAATGAACTTAGAGAGGGCCTCAAAAGTATAAAACAGGACCAGTCAGAAATGAAGGATGCACAGTCAGAAATGAAGGTGGCATTAACTGAAATAAAGAATAATTTACACAGATTCAGTAGTAGAATACGTAAATCCAAGAAGCAGACCATTAATTTGGAATATAAGAAAGCAAAAAAGCCCAATCAGAACAGCAAAAAGAAAAAAGAATCCAAGAAAATGAGGATAGTGTAAGGAGCCTCTGGGACAACTTCAAGCGTGCCAACATTCGCATCTTGGGGGTGCCAGAAGGAGAAGAGAGAGAACAAGAAATTGAAAACCTGTTTGAAACAATAATGGCAGAAAACTTTCCTAACTTGGTGAAGGAAACAGACATACAAGTCCAGGAAGCACAGAGAGTCCCAAACAAGATGAACCCCAGGAGGCCCACAACGAGACAACTCATCATCAAAATGCAAAAGTTCAAGACAAAGAGAGAATCTTTTTTTTTTTTTTATCCTCACCCGAGGACATTTTTCCATTTTTTGTACAGATAGAGCGGGAGGGAGAGAGAGGAAGAGAGAGAGGGAAACATCGATGTGAAAGGGACACATCGAGTGGCTGCCACCCGCACGACCAACCAGGGCCGGGGACAAACTGCAACCGAGGTATGTGCCCTTAGCGGGAACCGAACCCGGGTCTCTCCAGACCACAGGTGGACGCTCCAACCGCTGAGCCAAACCGGCCAGGGCCAAAGAGAGAATCTTAAGAGCAGCAAGTGAAAAGCAGTTAGTTACCTACAAGGGAGTTCCCATAAGACTTCAGCTGATTTCTCAAAAGAAACTTTGCAGGCCAGAAGGGAGTGGCAAGAAATATTCAGAGTGATGAAAAGCAAGAACCTACAACTAAGATTACTCTATCCTGCAAAGCTGTCATTTAGAATTGATGGCCATATAAAGAGTTTCCCAGACAAGAAAAAGTTAAAGGAGTTCGTCACCACCAAACCGTTATTATATGAAATGTTGAAGCGTCTTTTTGAAGAAAAAGATAAAACATATGAACAAACAAAATGGCAATGAATACATATTTACCAACAATGGAATCTACAAACAAAATGAACAGGCAGAACAGAAACATTCTCAGAGATACAGAGAACATTTTGTTGGTTGCCAGATGGGAGGGGGTTTGGGGGAATGGGTGAAAAAGGTGAAGGGATTAAGAAGTACAAATTGGTTGCTAGACTGACAAACCTCAAAGGGAAGGGGGGTTTGGGGGGTAGGAAGAACTAAACCAAAGAACTTATATGCATACATGCATAACCAATGGACACAGACAACAGTGTGGAAAAAGGCAAGAGGGGGGCGAGTGTGGGGACGAGGGGGGTCAATGGGGGGAAAATGAGGAACATCTGTAATACACTCAACAATAAAGATTTTAAAAAATGAAAAAAAACAAAAAACAAAACAAAGACTATAGCCTGGCTGGTGTGTCTCAGTGGTTGTCCGTTGACCCATGCACCAGGAGGTCACCAGTTGGGTTCCTGGTCAGGGCACAAGCCCAGGTTGTGGGCCAAATCCCCAGTGGGGGGCATGCAATCAATCAATGTTCTCTCTCTTCAATGTTTCTATCTCTCTCCCTCTCCCTTCCTCTCTCTCTCTGAAATCAATAAAGAAAATAATAATAATAAAACAAAGTTTGTATAATAAGAGAGAAAGAAGGGCCCAAAAATTCCACTTATGGGTATTTAGCTGAAGAAACCCAAAACACTAAGTTGAAAAGACATGCATCCATATGTTCATTGTAATGTTATTTACAATAGCCAAGATATGGAAACAACCTAAGTGCCCATCAATAGGTGAATCGATAAAGAAGTGATGCATATATACAATGGAATATGACTCAGCCATAAAAAAAGAATGAAATCTTGCCATCTGCAGCAATAACCAGAGGGTACTGTGCCAAGTGAAATAAGTCAGACAGAGGAAGACAAATGCCATATGATTTCACTTATATGTGGAATCTAAAAAACAAAATAATCACCCAGCGGGTGTGGCTCAGTGGTTGAGCATTGACCCATGCATCAAGAGGTCACTGGTTCAATTCCTGGTCATGGCACATGCCCAGGTTGTGAGCCAGATCCCCAGTGAGGGGCATGCAGGAGGTGGCCAATCAGTGTTCTCTCTTATCGATGTTTCTATCTCTCTCTCTCATTCTCTCTCTAAAAATCAATAAAGAAAAATCATTTTTAATAAAAATAAATAAAAAACAAAATAATCAAGCAGAACAGAAATAAACTCATAAGACAAAGAACATTTTGAGGGTTTCCAGAGGGGAGGGGATTGGGTAATGGGTGAAAAAGGTGAAGGAATTAAGAAGTACAAATTGGTATTACAGAATAGTCAAAGGGATGTAAAGTATAGCATAGGGAATATAGTCAATAATCCAGTAATAACTATGTATGGTGTCAGATGGGTACTAGGATTTATTAGGGAATCACTTCATTAGTTATATAAATGTATAATTACTGTGTTGTACACTTGAAACTAATATAATATTTTGTGTCACTATAATTGAAAAATAAATGAATTTTAAAAACCAATGAACATTGTTCATTTTTTTAAAATTAATTAATTAATTTTTGTTACAGATGTTTCTCCTTTTCCCCCCACTGATATCCCCCTTCCTCTCCCTCCCCACCGTCCCCAGCTTTGTTGTCCATGTCCACTGTTCATACATACATGCATAAAGCATTGTTCATTTTAAAAGATGTTTTTCTCGATACTACTACTATATATTTTATAGTCCTTTTCTTTAGAAGATCTTAAAACAGATTATAGATGTTAACCCAATAAGCCTAAAATCATTTCTCTGCAGTTCATCAGTATTAGTATTATCCTGGAACCTAGTACAACACCTGGTTTAGACATTCAATCACTGTTAAGATGACTGAATTATCCTATGCACAAACTTAGGGAAATTATAGGCATTAAACAAGATTAGCGATCAGTACTAAACCACAACTGATTAGGAAAGAGGCAATGGAAGATTAGAAGAGAAAATGGAGGTGGAATGGGGGCAGAAGAGAAGTCAAGGGAGAAAGATGAGAACAAGTACACTCAGACCTTAGAACAGAACTTCCAAAAGTCAGAAGGACTGACAGTCCCAAGTCAACATATTCCTACATATTGTGTATCTAGCTAAGGCACCATTGTTGAAGCAAAACCTGATTCAACACTTTGCTTTCTGAGAGGACTGTAGCCAACTAATTATTAGAGTATGTGAGGAAGAGGAGGTAGTGAGGAGAATATGGCACTCCTGAGGATGTACTAACAGCCAAGCTAAGTAGCATCCTGGTCCCTCAGTGCAGGACCTGCTATTTTCTACCTACCAGATCACTTTGTTATGTAATAATTAAGATGTAAGCATTTAAACATGAAGACAAATGATAATTACTTACATGAGAGACTGGGGACCATTGTAACTGACAAACAGGTCCAGGAGTAGTAATATAACCAATTGGTTTATAATCCTTTTCCACTTCAAAGAAGAACACAGTTTTATCTTTACTCTGAGAAAATGAGAAATATCAGCCAAATGTATATTATTATAAAATCCATTCCACCAAGCACAAAGAAGCATTTAATAGTTATAGTATATCCACTGTACGCTTATACCTCATGGACACTTATACCAACAATGATCATATAGCCCAGATTATTCTGGGAAAATTCTTATTTCAAATATTTACTTCATTCCCCCCATGAAAACACTTGACAAATCACGTATTCCAGTATGTGGTTCTGAAATAACAATCATCATATCTGTACATAAGATTAATTCAGAAAAAAATTCCCCAATGCCAATGCTCACCTATTAATGCACAAAGAATTTACATAGTCATTCTCTTCATTTAGGTCAGTTCTGTATACGAATATACCTAGGCTATAAAGTATTGATTATACATAAAACATCTTGCACAATTCCCAGCTGAAAGTTTCTATTAATTTAAAATAAGCATTAGAACTCAATTTGTAAGAATATTTCTAAATATCACACACAGTCACGCTGAAAGAATATGAATACAAAGAAAGAAAATATGGATATGTTCTCAGAAATGGGTATCACCTATAAGGCATCATTAAGTGGGAAGATTAATAAGGCAAGGTTAACCATCAAAGTTCAATAGGAAACAAAAAGAAATCTACTACTTACCCCTGTAGCTAGAATTTCTCCATCACGTTCAAAAGCTAAAGCAGTGACATGAGCAGTATGGGGTTTGAAAACATGTTTCAAATGAAGATCTGCATCCAGATATTTCTTCCGTCCTGCAAAAATTGTGAGCCCTTTTGGATCATAAAGTTCAAGAACTCGAACAACCCCATCTTCAAATCCTACAATAATATGTGCTCCAGTGAAGCTTACCTTAGACAAAAATTGAATGCAAAAAATCTGAAATTAGTTGAGTAGGAAAGTTGTATTATGCTACCTCTCTATTTATTTAGACTTAAGTTATTTAACCTTGGCTGCCCATTGGTGATTCCTCCTACCACTTTCTGGTAACATCCAGCTATTTTAGAACAGATCCTGTCACTGCTGACTACGAGATGGGTCAACAATGGCAATTCAGACACTTGATGAGCAAATGTTGGTGGAGGGTCTGTCTACTCCATGTCAGGCAGCTATGCCCAGCAGCTCGAGAATGAGCATAAACAGCCTCAGTCCCTGGTTTCACAGAAGTTGTGGTCTAGTGGGGAGGACAGACAATCACACAAATGAGTAAGGAATTATGAAGCAAAGAACATGCTAAAGGAAAGAAACATCTTCTCTGACAGCACTTAACAAAGAAAGCTGATCTAGACTGAGGACTTACTGAAGGAAGTGATGCTGGGGCTGAGATCAGAGAAAGGCCCAGGAATTAACCAACAGGAAGGTGGGAGAAGCACTCTTGGGAAAGGATGCAGCTTGTGCAAAGGTCACGGGACAGTAAAGAAAGTAACTTGGGATGGAAGTTATAATTTGACTAGAGCAGACTGAGTGAGGGAGCAGTGCTTCTACAAGAGGTTGGAGGGGGAGATACGCAGGCACCAGGTCACAAAGTTCCTTGCATGTCACATTAGGCGTAATCTATCCCAAGAGTAGCGGAAAGTCATCTAAAGGTTTTTAGTTGGGGGCTGGGAGTAGGAAGTGAAATGATCAGATTTGCTACTTCAGAAGTCATCCTCGCTGCTGTGTGGAAGGTAGATCTGAGATGGCCTGATGGGATGCAGGGAGGCCTCTGGGGGAGCCCTTTGAAGCGGCGGCTGCCATATTCTAGGGCAATGATTGTGGTCAGTTGGTCTGAGGTGATGTAGTGGAGATGAAGGATATCAACACATTTTAGTAAGAGGTATAATGGCCCTATTGGTAATGACTGGATATGGGGAATGAGGCAGAAGGAGGTGGCAAGGACGAATATGACATATACTGAGTCAGGCAACACTGGAAGGGAGCCAGATGTGTGGTTGTTGCTATCACTGTTTTTGTGGAAGGGTTAGCTGGGGCAAGCAGAAAATCATTAACTTAGTCTTGGCCATGTTGAATTTGAGGTGCCCTGGGGATCTCAAAATAGAGATGACCTATAGTCTGCAGCTTAGAGGAGACGTCTGGGCTGGAGGTACAAATCTAGCAATGTCTGAAAGTGCTAAATCTATTATTCTAAAAGGTATTCAAGAGAAGGGTGATAGCACTGGTATTCTTTTTTTAAATCCTCACCCTAGGATATGTTTGTTGATTTGAGACGCGGGGGGGGGGGGGGGGGGGGACAGACAGACATTGATGTGAGAGAGAAATATCAATCAGTTGCTTCCCATACGTGCCCCAGCTGGGGATCAAACCCACAACCTAGGTATGTACCCTGACCAGGAATTGAACCCACAACTTTTTTGGTGTATGTGGCAATGCTCCAACCAACTAAGCCACCCGGTTGGGCAGCCCTGGTATTCTTTAGAGCAGAGTGATCATCCCTAAGGCCAGGCAATTATAAAAATATTGGGAAAAGAAAATGTACTCCATCCAATTCCAGTTGAATGTTGTTAATTCAATAAACATTTACTAAGTCTCTAAATGTATCAGTAACTGTAGAGGCATTGGAGGTACAAATAAGAATAGGTATGGTTATCACAATACAGAAGAGTCTGTGGGAAGGCTAGACAATAAAGCAAATCATCTTAGTATGTTGTGCTACGTGCTGTAAAAGAACTATCTACACAGTCCTTAACAAACAGACAAAAAAAAAAAAGGCAGAGGAAGAAGCACTCAGCTGTATTTGAAGGTGGGGTCACAAAGGAGATGGTGATGACCTGAGCTGAGTTGTCAAGAATGATGTGGAATGGAGTTTTCCAGAAGGCAAGGGAGTATGGAGAAGGGCATTTCAATTCTAGTATAATATCCATATGATCATTACTTGGATGTAAAGCTAAAATGGGAAACACTCTATAGACACCACACAACCATCTGAATAAATGATTCTTTTACTCGGGCTATATTTTAAAGACTTCAGTAAGAGTGTAAATAGATTAGAATAGGGAGTGAGTCAGGTTTGGCATTCCAAATTTTCTGTGGTTTCTACTTCTTTTAGCCTAATCATTGTTCTGCCTCTATTACCTGGCCTACATTCTCCTTCTGATCTTAATCCCATCATGAGATTCCCCTCCATTCTAGCCATCTCCACATCTACTTTGAGCCTGGAACATTTTTTTTTTATTTCAATCCAAAACAGTAAGAATAAAACATTCCCAAAATACTCCCATGACATTTTTTTTTTCACTTTTAAAAAATATATACATTTTAATTGATTTTTTTTAGACAGGAAGGGAGAGAGAGATAGAAACATCAATGTGAGAGAGAAATATCAATTGGTTGCCTCCTGCACGCCCCCTACTGAGGATCGAGCCCACAACCCAGGCATGTGCCCTGACTGGGAATCAAACCAGAACCGCTCAGTCCATGGGATGACACTCAATCCACTGAGCCACACCAGCCAGGCTAATAATTATCTTTTTTATTTTTTATGGTAAATTTTTTTTATTAATTTATTTTTGTTACAGATGTTTCTCTCCCATGACATTTTAAAAACATGGCTGAAAAATTCTTTGACATGCCTCCCATGGAGAGATGGGGTTTAAGGCCCTCTCCCTTTAATCCAGATGGAGTTTGTGACGGCTTCACCCACTGGAGTATGGTAGAAGTGGCATTATGTGACTTCCGAGGTTGGGAAGGCCAGCAGCTTCTGCCTTGTTTGTTGGGACCCTAGATCCTGGAGGCCTGAACTGCCCTGAGCCCACAATGCTGTAACAAAGCCCAAGCCATTGAGGGGCTACTAGGTAAGCACTCCTGCTGACATCCCTGCTTAGCCCAGCCAGATTTGGAATCCAGAAACCTTTAAATAATTCCAGGACCAAACCATTCAAATCTTTCCAGCTGAGGTCCCAGACACCATGCAGCAGAGAAAACCCATCCCTGATGTCACCTATCTGAATTCCCAATTTACAGAGTATGTAAGCAAAACAAAATGATTGCTGTTTTATACCACTACATTTTGTGATAGTTTGTTACACGGCAATAGATAACTAAACAATACCCTGTCTCTGTCTAATTTTCTTCTATAGCTCTTATCATTATCTAACATATCACACATTTTACTTAATTTGCGTATTATCTGTCTCTGCCTCCTGTTTCCCACTACAGTGTAAGGTACAAGAACAGCAAGTATTGTTGTCTTTGTTCATTGCTGTCCAGAACATGGTCCAGCACCTAGTAGGCATGCTAGAAACATAAATAGAATGAATGCAACCTGAGCCAGGCAGATGGAGGATATATACAAAAAATTCTGTTGGGTAATTACTTTGTACCATGGAACTACCATTAATCTGCAGGTGTCATAAAAATCAATTTTCAGCCCTGACTGGTCTTGCTCAGTGATTAGAGCGTCAGCCCATGGACCAAATGGTCTGGGGTTCAATTCCCAGTCAAGGGCATGTACCTGGGTTGCAGGTTCTATCCCTGGCCCTGGTCAGGATCGTTTAGGAGGCAACCAATTGATGTGTCTCATATGGATGTTTCTTTCTCTCTCTCTCTCTCTCTCTCCCCCCCATCCTTCCCTTCCACTCTCTCTAAAAATCAATAAAAAAGTATCCTTGGGTGAGAATTAAAAAAAAAAAAAGATTTTCATTATAACAGGACCAAAATCACAATAATAGCAAGGTCATGATATGATATCCATCACATTCTAAGATAATGAACTAACTTAAAATTTTTAATCTCCTCTGAAATCCAGAATCAGAAAATACTTGTATTTCCAAGAAATAGCACTGATATTCTACATTTATTAATAAAATCTGTTAGAAGTTTATTATAATAAACTTACCACTCGAGGTACCCAAGCAAGGGCTGTACCTCCTTGATTGAATTTCACATGAGCCAAAGGAGTACAGCTAGCAAAATCATAGATTCTAATAGCGCCTATGAAAAAAAAGTATTAAAATAAACAAATGTATATATAATCTCTTTTTAAACAACCTTAGTTGTTGAACATTATAACAAGAAATTACACTAGATAGCTTCACAAGGAGTTTAACCAAACATTCAAAAAAGAACAATCACCTATTCTACTCAAACTATTCCAAAAAATTCAAGAGGAAGGAAGATGTCCAAGCTCTTTTTATGAGGCCAGCATAATCCTAATCCCAACACCAGATAAAGACACTGCAAAGAAAGAAAATTACAGGACAATATTTCTGATGAACATAGGTGCCAAAATCCTCACCAAAATATTATCAAATTGGATCCAGCAATATATTAAACAAAATTATACACCACGAACAAGTGGGATTTATCCCAGGGATGCAAGGCTGGTACAATATTCTTAAATTAATAAATGTGATACACGACATAAACAAAATGAAAGATAAAAGCCATATGATCATATCAATAGATGCTGAAAAGTATTTGACAAAATCCAGCACCCATTTTTGATAAAAACTCTTAGCAAAGTGGGAATAGAAGGATCATACCTCAACATAATAAAGGCTATATATGAAAGACCTACAGCCAACATCATACACAATGGGCAAAAACTAAAAGCATTTCACTTAAAAACAGGAACAAGACAGCAATGCCCACTTTCACCACTCTTATTCAATATAGCACTGGAATCTTAGACACAGCAATCAGACATGAAGAAAAAAATAAAAGGAATCCAAACTGGAAAGGAAAAGTGAAACTGTCATTATTTGCAGGTGACATGATATTGTATGTAGAAACCCCTAAAGACTCCATCAAAAAATGACTAGATTTAATAAATGGATTTGGCAAAGTAGCAGGTTACAAAATCAACACCCAGAAATCATTCGCATTTTTATACACCAATAATGAACACTCAGAAACAGGAACTAAAAAAACAATCCCATTTACAATTGCAACAAAAAAATTAAGATACCTAGGAATAAACCTAACCAAAGAAATAAAGGACCTGTTGGCAGAAAACTATAGGACATTGAAAAAAGAAATAGAGGAAGATATAAAAAAGTGGAAGCATATACCTTGTTCATGGACTGGAAGAATTAACATCATTAAAATGTATATACTGTCCTGGCTGGTTTGGCTCAGAGAGCCCTGGGTTCGGTTCCCACTAGGGGCACGTACCTCGGTTGCAGCTTGTCGCAAGTGGGTGTGGATGGCACCCACTTGATGTGTCTCTCTGGCATCAATGTTCTCTCTCTCCTTGTTCCTCTCTCCTTCCCACTCTATCTGAAGATAAATGCAAAAAATGTCCTCAGGTGAGGATAAAAATATATATAGATACATACTACCCAAAGAAATCTATAGATTCAATGCAATCCCCATCAAAATACCAATGAGATATTTCACAGAAGTTCTGTAAAATACTCCAGAAGTATATATGGAACCAAAAAAGACCCCAAATAGCCACAGCAATCTTGAAAAAGAAGAATAAAGTAGGAAGAATCACAATACCAGATATCAGGCTATACTACAAAGCCATTGTAATCAAAACAGCCTGGTACTGGCACAAGAACAGGCATATAGATCAATGGAACAAAACAGAGAACCCAGAAATTGACCCAAGACATTATGCTCAATTAATATTTGACAAAGGTGGCAAGAGCATACAATGAAGTAAAGACAGCCTCTTTAATAAATGGTGTTGAGAAAATTGGACAGCTACATGAAAAAAAAAAACAAAAAACTGACACTAGACCACCAACTTACACAATACACAAGAATAAACTCAAAATGAATAAAAGACTTAAATGTCACTTCTGAATCCATAAAAGTCCTAGAAGAAGATGCAGGCAACAAAATCTCAGACATCACATGCAGCAGAATTTTCACTGACACAATGCCTAAGGCAAGAGAAACAAAGGAAAAAATTAATATATGGATTACATCAAACTAAAAAGTGTCTGCACAGCAAAAGAAACAAGTATCAAAATGGAAAGGGAACCACTATGGGAGAACATTATTGCCCATGATATATCAGATAAGGCGTTAATTTCCAAAAATATATAGAGTACTTATACAACTCAACAAAAGGAAGACAAATAATCCAATTAAAATGGGAAGAGGACCTAAATAGACACCGCTTCAAACAGGACATACAATGGTCAAGAGACATGAAAAAATGCTCAATGTCCCTAATCACCAGAGAGACGCAAATTAAAACAATTATGACGTATCACCTCACACCTGTCAGAATGGCTGCCATCAACAAATCATCAAACAACAAGTGCTGGCAAGGGTGTGGAGAAAAGGGGACCCTAGTATACTGCTGGTGGGAATGCAGATTGGTGCAGCCACTATGGAAAATAATACAATGTTTCCTCAAAAAATTAAAAATTGAATTGCCATTTGATCCAGTGATCCCACTTCTAGGAATATACCCTAAGAAGCTTGAAACACCAATCAGGAAGAATATATCTACCCCTATGTTCATAGCAGCACTATTTACAATCACTTAGATTTGGAAACAGCCTAAGTGTCCATCAGTAGATGAGTGGATACAAAAGCTGTGGTACACTTACACAATGGAATACTATGCAGCTGTAAGGAAGAGCTGACATGGACGTGACCTGGAGAGTATTATGTTAAGCAAAGTAAGTCAATCAGAGAAAGAGAAATATCACACAATCTCACTTATTTGTGGAATAAAATGAACAAAATAAGCTGATGAATGAAATAGACTTGGAGACATGGAATTTGCGATCAGACTGACAAACCTAGAGCAAGGGGGCTTTGGGGGGAAGGCAGGAAGAGGTAAACCAAAGAACGTAAATGCATCCATGTATAACTAGTGGACATAACAATACTTTGAAGCAGAGGGATGGGAGTGGAGAAGAGGGTGTCAGTCAGGGGAAAAGGAGAAACATCTATAACAAAAATAAATTAATTAATTTAAAAAAAGAAATTTCACAAATAACTAAATCAACTGATAATCCAATAACCTTTCTTTAGTCAAAAATTTCTATGTATACCTTCAATTGGGTAATTTATAAACATGAGTAATAAAGAAGACAACTGGGAGTCTGGTTAAGATGGGGATGTAAGTAAATGCCGTACTCAAATCCTCTTACAACTGCATCACAATTACAACTTAACTATAGAACAACCATCATTCAGAACTGCCTGAAATCAAGCTGAACAGAAGTCCTACAACTAAGAATATAAGGAAGCCGCAGCATCAAAACTGGCAAGAGGGCAGAGACTCAGAATGGGCTAGTCCCATATCCATGTTTGGTGGATAAAAATTGTGACAGATATCTCAGCTTCAGAGAACCCTCTAAGGAACAAGGAGTCCCAGTCCCACAGCAGGCCTCCCAGCCCAGGTTTTCAGTGCCAGGAAGCAAAGTCCTCATAACTTTTGGCCATAAAAAACCAGCTTAGAAATCCCTGGCCGTTTTTGCTCAGTGGTTAGAGCGTCGGCCGGCCGACTAGAGATCCTGGGTTTGGTTCCCGCTAAGGGCACGTACCTCAGTTGCAGTTTGTCCCCCCCCCCCCCCAGTTGGGGTCGTGTGGGTGGCAACCAGTCGATGTGTCTCTCTCACATTGATGTTTCTCTCTCTCTCTCTTCCCCCATCTCCCTCCTGCTCTATCTGAAGATAAATGCAAAAATGTTCTCTGGTGAGGATAAAAACAAAAAACAAACAAACAAACAAACAAACAAAAATAGCTTGGAATGTGGCTGAATAAGGAGGACTCCTGAAGTCCCAGGCATTTTTCTTAAAGGGCCCACACACAAATTTACTCAGACTCACTTGCTCTGTGCTCCAGTACTGGAGCACCAGGGACACACAGGGAGGAACTGAGTTGTCCAGCATCAAGGTGAGAGCTGGAGGGGCAGCTTTCTTCCAGACAGAAGTGCTGGCAGAGGCCATTGTTCCTTTTCGGACCCCACCCCCCAGAGAGCCAGCAGGCAAGTACCATATTTGAGCCTCCATCTACTTGTCAACATTTGCCCCACCCTGGTGATTTCCTGAGACCCAACCCCACTCAACTTGCAGACCCCACCCAAGCCATCTCCAGTGGCTTTTCCATATGAATGACCTGTCTTGGCTCATGCTTCAAGATTTCCTAAAATCTCTCAAACAAGCCATATCTGGCCTTGCCCTTGCTGTGTAACCCTCACTAAGTGGCCCCAGGCCCAGGACTAGTGGCAGCTGGCTTTGGTTCTCAGTGTGGTCTCTTCTGGGTACCTCCAAACCCAGCAGAAGTAGCAGCCATGTGCAGGTCATTATATAGCTTATGCCGGGTGGCCCCAGGCAGGGTACAGGTAGGAGCTGACCTTGACCTTCACCTACCAGGAGGCCCCAGAGCAAGTGCACCCAGTGGACAGCTTCAGACCATGTCAAAACACCACCCAACCTCCTCCATGAAAACACACTCAATGGGTAGACTCAGCACTGAAGTTCTGTGAGGTCGGCCCCTGCACAACTGATCCCATGGTGGTCACGGCCAGTCTCCACAGCCAAATGGCCTGGGGGTAAATTCCTCCCATTGAGGTGCCAACAGCAATAAAGGCTCAACTACAACACCAGGGTATACACAGCCCACACAGGGGGCACAGTTGGAGTGTCCAGCTTGGGTGAACGGGGAGGCTGTGCCAATGGACCCTGCATAACACCTACTACATTGGCCCATCTACCAAGACCAGGACACTAGCAGCTCTACCTGAGACATAAAAACAAACACAGGGAGGTAGCCAAAATGAGGAGACAAAGAAACATGTACCAAATGAAAGAAAAGAACAAACTACAGAAAAAGAACTAAATAAAATGAAGACAAGCAATCTAATAGATGCAGAATTTAAAATACTGGTTACGCCCAGTCGGTGTGGCTCAGTGGTTGAGTGTTGAAAAAGAATTAAAAAAAAAAAAATGAGAGTTTAAGGAGCCTCTGGAACAACTTCAAGTGTACCAACATTTGCATTAGGGGAGGGGGGGGTGCCAGAAGGAGAAGAGAAAGAGCAAAGAATTAAAAACTCATGTGAAAAAGTAATGGCAGAAAATGTCCCTAACTTGATGAAGGAAATAGACATACAAGTCCAGGAGCACAGAAAATCTCTAACAAGATGAACTCAAAGAGGCCCACACCAAGACACATCATTATTAAGATGCCAAAAATTAAAGTCAAAGAGAGAATCTTAAAAGCAGCCAAAGAAAAGCAGTTAGTTACCTACAAGTGCGTTCCCATAAGACTGTCAGCTGATTTCTCACAGAAACTTTGCAGGTCAGAGGGATTTGCACAAAAATATTCAAAGTGATGAAAAGCAAGAATCTACAACCAAGATTACACTACTCAGCAAAGCTATCATTTAGAATAAAAGGACAGATAAAGAGCTTCCCAGACAAGAAAAAGCTAAAAGAGTATTATAAGAAGTGTTAAGACCTGGCCAGTTTGGCTCAGCAGTTAGAGTGTCCACCCGCAGACCAGAGAGTCGCAGGTTCGGTTCCCGCTAAGGACACGTACCTCAGTTGCAGTTTGTCACTGGCCCCAGCTGGGGTGATACGGGTGACAACCAGTCGATGTGTCTCTCTCACATTGATGTTTCTCTCTCTCTCTTCCTTCCTCTCTCCCTCCCACTCTATCTGAAAATAAAAATGCAAAGATGTCCTCGTGAGGATAAAAATAAATAATAAATAAATAAATAAATAAATAAATAAATAAATGTTAAAGGGTCTTCTTTAAGAATAATAAGAAAAAAATTAAAAATAATAACATGGCAATAAATACATATCTATCAACAATTACTTCAAAGGTAAATGGATTAAATGACAATCAAAAGACATATGGAGGTTGTAATAGATAACAAAATAAGACCCTTAAATATGCTGTTCACAAGAGACTCACTTTAGATTGAAAGACATACAGAAACTAAAAGTGAAGGGATGGAAAAAGATATTTCATGAAAATGGAAGCAGAAAAAAAAAAAAAAGCTGTGGTAGCAATAGTTAAAGCAGACAAAATGGACTTTAAACCAAGGGCTACATAACAAAAGACAAAGAAGGGGCCAACGATTCTACTTCTGAGTATTTATCTGAAGAAACCCAAAACACTAATTTGAAAAGACATATACACCCATATGATCATTGCAACATTATTTACAATAGCCAAGATATAGAAACAACCTAAGTGTCCATCAATAGATGACTGGATAAAGAAGTGGTGCAAATATACAATGGAATATGACTCAGTCATAAAAAAAGAATAAAATCTTGCCACCTGCAGCAACATGAATGGACCTAGAGGATATTGTGCTGAATTAGACAGAGGAAGGCAAATACCATATGATTTAACTTATAGGAATCTGAAAAACAAACAAACAGAACAGAAACAGACTCACAGATACAGAGAACATTTTGATGGTTGCTAGATAGGTTGGGAGGCTGAGTAAAAAAGGTGAAGGGATTAAGAAGTACAAATTGGTGCCCTGGTCAGTTTGGCTCAGCGGTTAGAGCGTCGGCCTGCGGTCCGGAGAGACCCGGGTTCCGTTCCCGCTAAGGGCACGTACTTCGGTTGCAGTTTGTCCCCGGCCCTGGTTGGTCGTGCGGGTGGCAGCCACTCATGTGTCCCTTCACGTCGATGTTTCTCTCTCTCTCTCCCTCCCACTCTATCTGTACAAAAAAATGGAAAAATATCCTCGGGTGAGGATAAAAAAAGAAGTACAAATTGGTAGTTATAAAACAGTCATGGAGATGTTAAAGTATAGGTAATATATAGTCAATAATATTGTAATAACCATGTAGGGTGCCAGATGGGCACTAGATTTATGGGGGTGATCACTTAGTAAGTTATATAATGTCTAATCACTGTGCTGTACACCTAAAACTAACATAATATTGTATGTCAACTGTAATAGAAAAATAAAAATTTAAAGTAAAAAAAAAAAAAAGACAACTGATGATTGACTGGTAGATCAATTTCACCTGGCAGAGTCCACATTGATTCTCCATAAGTCAACAAGAAAGAAAGGAAATGGAAAGGAAAAGGACAGCACAAATGTAGATAAAACCAAAATGAACAGCATTTACATGAGTGGTTTACTGACTGTGTTCTCATTTTAATCTCACAACAACCACGGCTGCTGCGTTTTGTGCCCTCTTCCCTCCACAAAAACTCACCTCATTTGCATTAAGAGGCTTCCCTTTTGAAAACATCCTCAAATGCTTTTAATCAAACACATACAAAAGATAGTATGGAAAACAAAACAAAAAGGCCAGCTACATTTCCATGAAGAGTTCCTACTTACAGTCCAAGGCAGTAGTAGCCATAAGATAAGTGAGAGGAGAAACGGCCACGGCTTTAATGGCTCCAGAATGGAAGGAGAAGAGGCATTCTGGATCTTGTGTCTGATCATCAAAAGACAGAAATTCTATTAATCTCAGCAACAGCTTAACATAGAATCGAGGTCAAGTTTAAAGAAATACAAACAGCACCTTGTAACTACATGTGTAATTTTATCTGAATAGAAATCAGAAAAGCATAATAGGTTAGAAAGAACGCTGAACTTTGGAATTAGGAGAAACAGAGTGCTGGCTTGTGCAGTTGATGGCTGTGTGATTTTGTACAAGCCACTTTGAATGCCAGTTTCCATTTCTTCACCAGTAAAATGAGATGATAGCAACTGCCTGCCTACTAAATAGGATAGTGGTGAGGATTACATGAGGTAATATAAATGCAAATGGCTTATGTTTATGAAAACTGTAAAACACACACAGCCGGTGTGGCTCAGTGGTTGAGCGCTGACCCATGCACCAAGAGGTCGCTGGTTCGACTCTCAATCAGGGCACATGCCCAGGCTGTGGGCCCAGTTCCTAGTGGGGAGCATGTAGGAGGCAGCCAGTCAATGTTCTCTCTCATCGATGTTTTTATCTCTCTCCCTCTCCCTTCCTCTCTCTCTCTAAAAATCAATAAAAATAGATGATAGATAGATAGATAGATAGATAGATAGATAGATAGATAGATAGACAAAAAAACTTTAAAGCACAATATGTTAGCCATTGTCATTGCCACTTTTCTGGTAAATTTTGCTATGATATAGAACTTTTTAATGTACAATAATTACAAAAGGAGAGAGAGAGAGAGAGAGAAATAATATGAGTTCTCAAAAATTGAATATCTTGACCAAGTTTTTGATGGGAATAATAATCAAATATGGAGAAAGATAAAGTATATTTTAAGGAAAAATAACAAAGAATTATTATTATAAATTTTTTTAAAAAAAGAAAATAGGCAACTTACAATATTTGAAAAACTAAGGTCAAGCTTCCATATGGCTCCATTGGAATCCTAAAAAATTAAATACCTAATAAATTTTGTCTTATCATTTTGAACTTCTATTAAATTAAAAAAATGTTCTTCCTATGATTTAAAGTAAGGACAAACAGAGGCTCATTCTGCAGATAGAGAACTCTTGTTCTGCCAATACCATGAGTGTCTCAGGCCGTGTGTCTCCTCCCTGCTCAGGTGTGAACCACCCTGGATGCTGCATAGTAATTGTGGCTTTTCCTATTTTGTCAGCCTGAGGAGCAACCATCCACTATGAGCTAGCAAGACATCATTAAGAAGGAGGGCTTGGGACTCCAAGGCCTCAACGAAGGATTTATAGCCACTTTGGGACATCATGGAATTTTCAACATGGTTTATTTTGGTTCCTACTACAATGTCAAAGACATTATTCCTGTCAATAAAATAAGGAAACCAAATGGGCAGTTAAGGCCCAGAGCTGAACATTACTGAAGTAATTTATCTGACACCATAGAGCAGGAGGAGGGAACGAACCAGAGGCCAGAATGCTTCCCACTGAGCCATCAAACGCTTCAACTCTACATTTTACCTTGTATTTTGTCACACACAGTTATCTCTCAAAATGGTTACTAAAATTTTAGTAAGTGAAATAATTAGCATATTCAGATAATATAACCAAATTTGTCTTGTGCCTCATTCAGCTGTAGTCTGGCACCCTCTTTTTGCATCCTTAGTTTACACTCCATGAAAACACAGAATTGTAAGACACAGCCCTGGAAAACCTGGGAATTAATAGCTTGAACATGGTGACCCATGACCTCTCAGATTTATTTTTAGAATCTAGCTGCTCCTATTGGATGGTGAATAAGTGGCTACAATAGAGAAGGGCTGCTTTGGATATTAACTGGCCGTGGAATTCACCTAATGGAGGCATTTGTTTACATCGTGCAGTAAATGGAATGGAATGCCAGTATGAAGAATTATCCCTCTTCCCTGGAAAGAGGCCATCACTTCTCGAAGTAAAGTCCACTAGGAACAGATATTGATTAACTTAAACGCTGACATCTTTTTCAAATATCCATAGGAGTAAGCTCTCATTCCAAAACACAATTTCTTTCATTCCCCTTCAAGTTGGGGATTGTCAGAGCATAATATCTGTGTTGTTGACACATAAATAAGACTTAAATGTTGTGTGTCTTTAATACTTTGTCCTCTAGTTCCATATTTATTTTTTTTATATGTTTCCATAAGTAAACAATAATAATAATAATAGAAATCATGATCTAAAGCTCATGACTGTCAACAGTATACACTGTGCTTTTAGTTTGCATCCTAATTAAGCACATTTGTAGGTTATCTGCCAAAACAATAGACCTTTTGTGTTTGCATTTTGCCATGATATAAATTACATGTGTGGGTTGAAAATATTCTAGGAGAGAACAATTTTTCATATGCTCAATCTTTCTTACTTAATAAACCATTAGACCTTAAAAAAATAAATAAAGGACAAACAATAATACTAAAAGCTTATATATAGTTTAGAGTGTGACTGAAATTTAATTAAACCAATTTCTATCTATCTTAGAATACAATAAAGCAATCTTGTTATACTTATAGTTGGTTTAACATAATAAAAATTATTCTAATAGGTTTTTCTATGTATAAAATATAGGTCATTTAAACATCAAAATTCTGGAACTCTTCATTGAGGTATCAGTAGTAGTCTTAATAATAAAATGAACTACAGTGACAATACATTATAATGCTATTTTAATTTTATGCCCAGGTAACTTTAAAAGAGCCAAGAGAGAAGAATGCAACTTACCTGAGCCAACCAAAAGTTATTTCCAGCATCATTCATTTTTATCATGGAGTAGAGTTTGACATTCTTGTCCACGTGAAGTTCATTGATGGGCTCAATCTCTAGCAATCCAGTCTCGTCTATAACATCAGCAGTGTCTATGGTCTCAAAATCCCATATCTTATCAAATTAATAAGAAAATATCATAAGCTTACATCAGTTTATGAATTTATATTTTCTAAGCCAGAAAAGACATTCCTTTGTATTTATAGATTTGTGAGAAAACACAGCTCTGAATAAGAATTCTAATTTGCCCAAAGTAATCTGTGCTTCAACGTTTCTGACAGGTTTTCCTGCACAGAGAGAGGCCATTGAGAGTAAATGGTTTACTTGTTCAGCAAGACATCATCAGTCCTATATTATATACACCAGTTGGCCCCTGGAGAGGAGAAACAGATCTTCTTGCTTAATAATTCAAACACCATCTTCACTATAAGCAGAGAAAAATGAATGTAGATGATGTATTTATTAGAAAGTGTTTCTCTTCATCGTTGATTTAGACTGTACTATTCAGATAAACACTTTTGTTCTCAAGACAGGAGACTAGAATGCTACAGGAAGGATGAGGAGCAGTCTCACCTCATGTGGCAGAGACTCAGAGGGCTTCCTCTGTGAAGTACCAGAGCCCAATGCAGATGGTTCTGCTGATACACCCTGCCATGTCCTGGACTCGGTAACTCAGACGCTGAGAAAGTAACTTCAGGGAGGATCTGAGTTGTTTCATAGAGTAGCCTCATGGCAGGAGGCCCAGGTGCTAGGGCCAGACTAATGCCTGGCAGTTGGGGTAAGTTTTTCCTAATGGGTATGAGGTAGAGATTTATAATATAAAGGATGGAAGAGGCAATGATGGACTTTGGAAAAGGAAGCAACCTTAGAAATCAGCAGTGTCCATGAAGGGATCCTGTGTGAAATATTTCATTTTTCTCTTGAGGACTTTTTCCCATGTGGTATCTTGACATTTTGGGGTGACATGTCTTGGAAGAAGTGACATAATATATTGCGTGACATAATATAGGACACAAAATAGTCTCAGAATAATGAGTAATATCTTACAAGATTAAATTTAACATGGTAAATGTAAAAAATTTATACTTGGGTTCAAAAAGCCTGTGGTAAGAGGGAAGATTATAGAAGATATGGCATAAACAATATATTAGACATAGTAAGTTCAATAGGTGTCAACAATGACCAGACTATTAAAAAGTGGTTTTACTTCTGATAATAACATGTCCTAAAGAATACCCAGAGAACACTTCCTACCACTTATGAAAGTCCCCAGAAGGAATCCGTGCCAAGGGGACCACAAGACAAATCAGGAGGCTCTAGGTTTGTCAGAAACAGCAGGGTACACACACCCAGAGGTGTGACCACAAACAGGAGAAACAATGTTCCAGCTTAGCCCACACTATGGGCAGGATGGTGTTTACAGGGGAGGACAAATGAGTTCACTAGTGTCAGGTACAAGGAGATGGAAGCATCCATAGCCAAATCCTCTCATCTTACCTTTTGAGTATTTTCCTGATTAGTAGTCTCAGTAAAAAATAACTAACAAGCCCTGGCCACGTGGCTGGGTCAACTGGAGTATTGTTCTGTACACCAAAAGGTTGTGGGTTCAATTCCCAGTCAGGGCACATGCCTAGGTTGCAGGTTTGATCCCTGGTGAGGTATGTACCAGAGGCAACCAATCGATGTTTCTTTCTCACATTGATATTGATCTTTCTCTCTCTTCCCTCTTCCACTCCCTCTTAAAAAAATAAAAATTTTTGAAAACACATCCTCAGGCAAAGATTTAAAACAAAAACAAAAACAAAAACAGAACAAATGTTTGGCATTTTTGTCCCTAGATAATTACCCATTCATATCAGGCATTTTGGTGGGACATCTGTGTTCACTGTTTATATTGTGCTAACATGGGCTTTCATTTTCTGAAGCTGCTATTTCAACAGTAGAATCAAAATAACAAAAGATCCCCTCAGAAAATGTCAGTGATCAGATGCTGTAAATTAATTTTGACTAGAATTCAAATATTACCACAAGAGAAACATTATTTAAAATAGTTGGCCCTGGGAGTAAATGACCACTGATCTCCTTCATAAAGTGACCTTCGCAAGAAATAAAAAACCAACACTGGCTGGTTTGGCTCAGCTGTTTGAGCACCGCCTGAGGACCAAAGAGTCTCAGGTTCAATTCCCAGACAAGGGTATGTTCCTGGGTTGCAGGTTTGATCCCCCACCCCAATCGGTCGAGGTTGTATGGGAAGCAACCAATCAATGTGTCTCCCCCACATCTAAAAAAAAAAAAAAAAATTAATGGAAAAAAATATCTTCAGGTAAGGATTAACAACAACAACAACAACAAAAACCACTTATAGAACCAACTGGATGATCTGCTTGGACGTGGATGCTACTTTTCAAGTAACAAGAAAACTTACCCTAACCCATCCATCTGAGCCAATCGTGATAACTTCACCTTCATCCAGCATTATCTGGTTAATGGGACCCTGGTGACAAGGCTTACTTTTAACTCGACAGAGCTCAACTTTGATGAGGCCAGCTTCCCAGACCAACATGTTGCCCCATTCTGTCCCTGAGAGCACCTGGCAGGTGTACAGAAAGGAAGGAATGCACATTCAGACAGACACATGTGTATATTTATTTCTCAAATAGCAGAAAAAAATGATTTTTTAAAAATTATTTTTCTTGATTATGACAGTAAAAATTTTAAATATTGAAAAAATAAGGTAATATAGAAATGAAAACTTACTGTCCTAGGAAGAGCCACTAATCACGCTTTGATATATTTCCACCGAGGGTTACACATCCTTTTCATTATGTGATTAGGCTGTATATTGCTGGTAATTTTTCAAACATATCTATTACATATTTCTTTGTATATCTCTTAAGGACATAATCCAGCAGTGGAATTACTGGGTTAAAAGTTAGAGGCATGCATCCAGTTACCTGCGGGACCTGTGGGGTTCTGAAGCACCAGAGAGGCCAGTGCAACCCAGCAGCCTATAACATTGGTATAGAGCCGGGTACCCAAAAAGGGACTGTGCGATCCACTTACCCACAGGACCTGCAGGGAGCTGGGGCACCAGGAAGGCCTGAGTGACCCAGCTGCACATAAGATGGGGATAGAGGATGTGAAAAATGTAGGTGGAGTGAATAGAAGCTACGCAGAGGATGTCTCAGGACCAAACAAGAATTACATCTAAAATAAAGACAAATCCTCTGAAAAAAAACAACAACAGAAAAGCAGCAGGACAGGACCATATAACCAGGGACACTGGTAGGATCTGCAAAGGCATGAGAGGGTGGTGGGCTGGGAGCCCATGGACAGCAGCAGTCTTAGCTGTGAGCAGCGCCCTTGGGGAATAAAGACCAAGCCTGCTCCACAGCACAGAGAGCAGAGAGCCAAGAGCCGGGACAGAGTGCTAAAATAGCCACAGTCACTCACCTGGGGGCTATGGAAGAGGGAAGGCAGACCAGGCTGGAACTCTGTGGGGACAACTGGGATTTGGAGGGCACTCAGAGTTTTTGCTGAGTTGTGGCCACAGAGGACGGTGGCCAGTGTACTCCTTCCCAGAGCTATGGAGAAAAGCAGCAGCCCAACCTCCCACTCAAAGATTCAGCCTTTCCCAGATGAGGCAAAGAAATGCAAATTGAGGCTGAATAACAACCAGCATCTAGCCCACCCTCTGGAAATCATCTTATGCAGAACACCAGGGCTACATTCCAAGGCACTGAGTAACTGAGACTACTAGCCACCAGGAAAAAGCTAGAGGATAACTGAACCTTTCCTGGGCTTGCAAATCTACCCAGGAAAGTATGACTTGACAGTGGTGTTTAATGTGGGCCCACACAGGCTCATCCAAACTCGGTAGAAGGAGCCACAAACAGCAGAACACCAACACCCTAAGGGAAAATTAGGCAGGCTCCAAAACCCACTGAGATAGCCAAAATGGTGAAACAAAGAAACAAATCCCAAATGAAAGAACAAGAGAATTCTATCAAAGATGAGATCAATGAAATGCAGCTAAGCAAATTATCAGAGTTAGAGTTCAGAGCCATGATCTTGTGGAAGCTCAACAGCATGAGTAAGGACATCAGCACCATGAGTAGAGATATAGCAACATTAAAAACCAACCGAGTGGAAATAAAGAATGACATACCAGAAATTAAGAACACATTGGAAGGACTAACCAGCAGAGTAGAGGAAGCTGAGGACTGGATCAGTGAATTAGAAGACAGGGTAGTAAAAAAAATCAACCAATCAGAAAACCAAAAGGAAAAAACAATTAAGAAACAGGAAGACAGCTTAAGAGAACTGTGGGACAACTGGAGACGTAATAACATTCATATCATAGGAGTCCCCAAATAGGAAGACAATGGGCAAGGGTTAGAGAATATATTTGAAGAAATAGTGACAGAAAACTTTCCTAACATGGTGAAGGAAGAAGGCATTCAAGTTCAAGAAGCACAGAGGCCCAAGTAAGAAGAACCCAAACAGGCCCACACCAAGACACATAGTAATTAAAATGCCAAAAATTAAACACAAAGAAAGAATCCTAAAGGCAGCAAGAGATAAGCAACCAGTTACCGACAAAGGAAACCCCATAAGGGTCTCAGCTGACTTCTCAACAGAAACACTACAGGTCAAAAGGGAGTGGCATGAAGTAATCAAGGTCATGAAAAACAAGGATCTGAATCCAAGACAACTCTACCAGCAAGGCTATCATTCAAAATAGAAGGTCAGATAGAGCTTTCCAGACAAACAAGGATTCAGGAATATATTAACAACAAACCAGCACTGCAATATATGCTAAAAGGACTGCTGTAATTAGTAGAAGAAATAGGAAGAAAAATAGAACCACACTAAACAAAAATGGCAATAAATAAGTACATATCAATAATCACCTTAAATGTGAATGGTTTGAATGCTCCAATAAAAAGACACAGAGTAGCAGACTGGATAAGAAAGCACAACTCACATATACGTTGTTTACAAGAAACTCACCTCACAACAAAAGACTCACATAGGTTGAAAGTGAAGGGATGGGAAAAAAATCTTTCAAGAAAATGGAAAGCCAAAAAAAGCTGGGGTAGCAATACTCATATCTGATAAAGTAGATTTCAAAATGAAGGCCATAACTAGAGACAAAGAAAGCCACTACATAATATTAAAAGGATCTATCCAACAGGAAGATATATCCTTGGTAAACATATACACACCCAAATTAGGAGCACCAACATATATTAAAAATCTTTTGGAGGACTTCAAAGGAGAAATCAACAGCAATACAATCATAGCAGGGGACTTTTATACCCCGCTGACATCACTAGATAGATCTCCTAGACAAAAAATTAACAAGAAAATACAGATTCTAAATGAAGCGCTAGATCAAATGGATTTAACAGATATCTACAGAGAATTACACCCCAAAACCACAGAATTCACATTCTTCTTAAGTGCATATGGGACATTCTCAAAGATAGACCACATTTTAGGTCACAAACTAAGTCTCTACAAGTTCAAGAAGATTGAAATCATATCAAGCATCTTCTCAGATCACAGTGGCATGCAACTAGAAATCCATTGCAACAAGAATATGCAAAGACATTTGAAAACATGGAAGCTAAATAGCATGTTATTGAACAATGAATGGGTTACCACCATGGAGATCAGGGAAGAAAGTAAAAAATTTCTGGAAACCAATGAAAATGAACACACAAGAACACAAAATCTATGGAATGCAGGGAAAGCAGTTCTGAGAGGGAAGTTCAGAGCACTACAGGCCTACCTTAAGAGGCAAGAAAAATTTCTAATAGACTATCTAACCTTACAACTTAAAGAACTAGAAAGCAAACAGAAAGAAAACCCCATAGTAAGTGAAGGAAGAAAATAGTAAAGATCAGCCCTGTCCGGTTTGGCTCAGCGGTTAGAGCGTCGGCCTGTGGTCCTGAGAGACCCGGGTTCGGTTCCCGCTAAGGGCGCGTACCTCGGTTGCAGTTTGTCCCCGGCCCTGGTCGGTTGTGCAGGTGGCAGCCACTCGATGTGTTCCTTTCACATCGATGTTTCTCTCTCTCTCTCTGTTCCTCTCTCTCCCTCCCACTCTACCTGAACAAAAATAAATAAATAAATAAATAAATAAATAAATAAATAAATAAATAAATAAATAAATAGAAAATAGTAAAGATCAGAGCAGAAATAATGACATGGAGACCAAAAATACAATTCAAAGGATCAATGAAACAAAGAGCTGGTTCTTTGAAAAGATAAACAAGATTGATGGACTGTTAGCTAGATTCACCAAGAAACAAAGAGAGAGAACCCAAATGTACAAAATCAGAAATGAAAGAGGAGAAATAATAACTGACACCACAGAAATACAAAGGATTATTAACAAATATTATGAACAATTATACAGCAACAAATTCAACAATCTAAGCTAAATGGACCAATTTCTAGAAACACATAGTCTTCCAAAACTGAACCGGAAAGAGATAGAAAACTTGAACAGACCAACAACAACAGAAGAAATTGAAGATGTAATCAAGACTCTCCCAGCAAACAAGAGCCCAGGCCCGGACAGATTCATGGGGGAATTTTACTGAACATTCAAAGAAGAACTAATACTCATTTTCCTCAAACTATTTCTAAAAATACAAGAAGAAGGAAGACTTCCAAACTCATTTTATGAGGCCAGCATAATTCTAATTCCAAAACCAGAAAAAGACACTACAAAGAAAGAAAACTACAGATCAATATCCCTGATGAACACAGATGCCAAAATTCTTAACAAAATACTAACAAATCAAATCCATCAATACATCAAAAAAATTGCTCACCATGACCAAGTGGGATTCATCCCAGGGATGCAAGGCTGGTACAATATTCACAAATCAATAAATGTGATACACCACATAAACAAAATGAAAGATAAAAATCATATGATCATAACAATAGATGCCAAAAAAGCTTTTGACAAAATCCAGCACCCATTTCTGATAAAAACGCTCAGCCATGTGGGAATAGAGGGATCATATCTCGACATAATAAAGGCCATATATGAAAGACCTTCAGCCAACATCATACTTAATGGGCAAAAATTACAAGCATTTCCCTTAAGAACAGGAACAAGGCAAGGATGCCCACTTTCGCCACTCTTATTTAACATAGTACTGGAAGTTTTAGCCACAGCAATCAGACAGGAAGAAAAAATAAAAGGGTTCCAAATGGAAAAGGAAGAAGTGAAACTGTCATTATTTGCAGATGACATGATACTATATGTAGAAAACCCCAAAGACTCCATCAAAAATTTACTAGACTTAATAAATGAATTTGGCAAAGTAGCAGGATACAAAATTAACATCAAGAAATCGTTCACATTCTTATACACAAATGATGGACTCACAGAAAGAGAAACTAAAAAAAACAATCCCACTTACCATCGTGGCAAAAAAATTAAGATACCTAGGAATAAACTTAACCAAAGAAATAAAGGACCTATTTGCAGAAAACTACAGGTCACTGAAAAAAGAAATAGAGGAAGATATTTAAAAAGTGGAAGCACATACCCTGTTCATGGATTGG